CGAAGATGACCTCTAGCACCAGCGCATGGGTCATCCCTCGCGCCAGACACTCGCCAACTGCCTCCGCGCTAAGGTCTTCCCGCCAGGAGCACTGCTCCGCCCCGACGGAACAGAACTACAGCACACCACCCCTCACCCAGTCACCTGCACAGTCTGCCCCACTGCTGCGCTCACCCACGGCGCCTACCCCTCCTTGGAGCCGAGCACCAACCGCTACAAGAAGCTGGAGAAAGTCTACAGCGATTTCGTCGTACTTACCCACGACGGCATCAACGGCGAGAAGTATACTCTCACCTTCATCGACGCCTACTCACGCCACGTGTGGATCGCCAACGTAGACGCCCGCTCCAAAGCTCCGGAGGTGTTCCGCATCTTCCTCGCGCACGCGCAGCGACAGTCGGGGAGGAAACTGAAGATCTGGCAGAGTGATGGGGCAAAGGAATTTCGCAGCAACGAGCTGGAGAGTGTTCTCACCGAGAAGGGGATTAGACACGAGATTTCTCTCCCCTATGCTCACCAGCAGCAAGGCGTCGCCGAGAGGGTCAATCGTACGCTCATGACCAAAGTCCGCGCCATCATGAACCAGTCCGGCCTGCCAAAGAAGTTCTGGCCTTACGCCATGAACCACGCGGTGCGCCTGCACAATCTCCTCTCCACCACCGCCAACAGGGATAACCTGTCCCCTCACATGAAGTGGACCGGCTCAAGAGGAGACCCCTCCATGCTGAGGGTTTGGGGGTGCATGGTGCAATATCGGCCGACCTCGGCCACAATCGGCAAGTTCGTTCATCGCGCGCGCTGGGGTATTCACTTGGGCCTCAGCAATGAGCACAAGGGTTGGCTCATCCTCGACATGGACAGCAAGGAGATTGTTCCCGCACGTGATATCCTGTTCTACGAGCGACTCACCCTGAAGCAGTGGATCGAGGACGAGCTCCGCAACGAAGCACGCGGCTACGTCAACCATGGTCGCAGCTTCGCGACTCCGGAAGATGCAGCAGCTGCAGCAGCACTGGACCGCGACGACACCGACGAACATCCTAGCATCCCACCTCGCCCGCGCGATGACGACGACGATGACAGCGGTGATGACCCCGCGCCAGGACCATCACGGCGCCGAACAGAGCCAAGCACCGCGGCACCCGGCTATGAGAGCGGAGACGACGACGTGGTGGAAGTCCTCCCCACCACAGACACCACCACAGTGTCCGGCCTACTCCTCGGCCTCCATACCTCCGTTTCTACCCTCGCACGGGCCGTGGAGCCTAAGAACCCTCGCCAGGCCCTAACCGGCCCTCACGCCAAGGAGTGGCGTGCTGCGATGGATGAGGAGCTCAAGGCGCTGGAATCTCGCGACACCTGGGTCCTAGTCGATCGTGCAGGAGTGAAGGGGAGGAGGGTGCTCAGCGGGAAGTGGGTTTTTCGCCTGAAAACTAACGCCGACGGCACTATCGAGCGTTTTAAGGCACGCTGGGTCGTACGCGGGTACGATCAGCGCCACGGCATCGACTTCGATCAAACCTTCGCTCCCGTCAGTCGCCACACCTCAGTCCGGATTCTACTCGCTATTGCCGCCGCGAAGCACCTACCACTGCGACAGATCGACGTAAAGAACGCGTTTTTATACGCGTTGGTGGACGCCACCATCTTTGTGGAACAGCCGCACACCTACGGAGAGGGTGACCCCAGGGTCTGCCAACTGAAGAAGTCCCTCTACGGGATCAAGCAGGCGCCTCGTCTCTGGCAGCAGCACCTGCACAAAATCCTCCTCGAAATCGGTTTCAAGCAGCTTCCACACGACCCGGGAATGTATCGCCTTCACTTCAACGGCGATTACATCCTCCTGACAGTCTACGTCGACGACCTGCTGTACACGGGCACCTGCAACAAACTCCTTGATCAGTTTCAGGAGAACCTGGCGCAGCGCGTGGACATCACCATCAACCTCGAAGTGAAGCAGTTCCTGGGGTTAAACATCACTTACACGCCAGAAGCAATTCATCTGTCAGCCTCCAAGTACGCAGAGCAGCTGGGGGAACGCTTCAACATCTCATCTGCACCACTCTCAACCCCTTACCGCAGCCCCAGCACCAACTACAAACCGGACAACAAACCACTGTCGCCCGCAGGACTCCAAATGTATCAGCAGAAATTGGGGTGCCTGCTATTCGCCTCTGTCACCTGCCGCCCCGACCTTTCGTACATCGCCAGCCAACTGGCACAGTACTCCCGCAAGCCAATAGCTGAGAACCAGCTGGACCTGGAGCGCGCCCTGCAGTACTTCATCTCCACTCCTGACATTGGACTCTCCTACTCCACGCTGACGACGACCTCCTTCAATCTCAACGGCTACGTGGACGCAGATCACGCAGCTGATCCTGCAAATTGACGGTCCCGAACCGGCTTCGTCTTTCGCCTGGAACCCACTGGGCCAATCTCCTGGAACTCGCAGAAGCAGGAGCTGGTTGCCCTGTCATCGGCTGAAGCAGAATACATCGCCGCGACAGCAGCAGTTCGCGAAGGCCTGTATCTGCAGGAGCAGCTACAGGAGGCGAAAATTCCAACTTCGCCCACCTTTCGCCTTCACTGCGACAACCAGAGTGCCATCAGGATCGCGAACAAGCCAGGTTTCGTGAACCGCACGAAGCACATCGCGCTTCGGTACTTTTTCGTCAAGGACGAAATTGACCAAGGCAAAGTGGACCTCGCCTACTGCCCGACCACTGAGATGGCAGCAGACTTCCTCACCAAGCGCCTGCCACGTCAGCAGTACAAACACTGCTCTGACCTCACCGGAGTAGTCAAGCGAGTCAGCTCCACCCGCGTCCAGGAATGAAGGGGAGTGTTACGATATGAAACTTTATGAGAAGGCATTCCTGTATGCTGCAGGAGCCGACTCTACCGAGTACGAAGTCGAGGAGTCAGAAGAGTCGAAGCGACGCAGCAACCGTCTGACCAAGACCGATGCTGGCAGAAACATTTGAAGTGAAATGAGCGGGAACAGGTTTGAAACGGGTTCCCGCGCCGCACGGTTTGAATTCGGTTGTAATAAGGGAATGTACCCCTTAGAGTACATGGCTAGTCTAGGTCTTTTCGTATTCCCTTGTATTCTTATATAAACTCGATGTATGCATGCTATTATCAACTCAGTCATTTACATTCACTCTGACCTGAGATTCAAACTTCCGCTGCAACACTACTCTGCGATCAACCCTGAGCGATCCTTCGCTAAGTCCCTTTTGGGATTGTAACACCAACCTTCACGATTCCGCAGACCCAGCCTAGTTAACCTTTCGCTATATCTTTGCTAGGCTTCATTATTGAGTGAGTAGTTGTAATCACTTATTCTTTATTGAATTATGCTCACTCTTCACATTCTTAACTCATAACAATCCCAATCCATTTTTTCCCACCTATTTCCTCCCCGCTTTTCAGCAATCTCCAACGCCCAATCGTGGCGATTGCTTGTAACCGCGGGTGCACGAATGCAGGATGGAGCTTCAACAGCAGCTTCATGAACATTCGTTCAGCCGCAAATCAGCTTCCTAGAACATTCGTACAGTTGTGACCTTCACTGGCAACCACCCGTTCATGACGTAAGCATCATCCGCGGGACTGGCTGGCGGCGGGACACCTTTCCCCTGGTACAGTACGTAGGCTTGTCACATTCTCAAATCAGTTAAGAGACCAGCCAGTGGTATGGTTGCGTTCGTTTGACGCACCACGCTAGGCGCCACAAATTACGGAATGTATTGGCGCGTACACAATTTTGTTGTTGTCAGATTGGCTGTGATTGGTCAGGTGCGGGGGCGGTTTATGGCGGTGGATGCCTTGGTTGGCCGGGACCAACCACCAGGCAGAAAGTAGAACCTGGTTAGGAAAGTTGGTGGGATGAAAATTAGAACGGTTTTCTATGTTACGAAGAGTTGAAGGTCTATACAGAGCGGTTGAGTAAAGGATACGAGGTACTTGACGGCTCACGAACAAATGAAACAGTCACTGGATAGTTGGCTGCACACTTTTTTTTGCCAAAGCGGTGGAGAATCTCTGATCTCTGAACTCCGCCACAATCCGTTGTACAGTACAACCAGTAGGAAATCAGTCCATAGGCGGAACACTCAGCTTCCGCAAATTTCTGCGCTGCGCACAACCCCAGAGGTTGTCCTGTCTGCTTTGTTGCGCGTCCCCAACCAATTGCGCTGGTTCGGCTCGCTGTTTGTCTGTTCTGTGACTTGCTTTCCCCCTTTCCGGAACCCTTCCGCCTCCTCCTCTCATACGGTCTTTCTCCGCCACTCCGTGCTTCTGTGCCTGCCACGCTGCCACTGTTTGCATTAAACAGAACCACCAAGAAGTAAGTCACAACACAGCTGCCACACCATACTGTACCACCACCCTCCATGCACACCTAAAACGTGGCACCACTTATCCACCACTTTGATTGGGAAAAGTGTCACTAGTGCGTTCTTCGCCCTTAGGTGCTGCTAACTAGGGAGGTGCAGCTAACTGGGGATGCTGTTTGCTTTATGTGTATAGAAACTGTATCCAGGAGGTCGGCTGACCGAGGACTTGTTGCTGGGGTGTGTTTTCGACAAAAGCTGCTCAGTGCTAACTAGCTGTCGGCAATGATGGCGCCAGAGAGTCCGTCGCCTCTTTATCTGTTCTACAATACGCCTCTCGCCTCCGGGGGTCTTTCGCGCTCCTGTCGGAAGTACGTATACACGTATGTCTGCGTGGTATCGCGTTATTTCAGTTTGGCTGCACATGTTCGAATTGTTATGCGTCCTTACGGAGATGTTCGGTTTGGTGTTTTTTGAGGGCTCTTTGCGTGAATCTTAAACAAGAGTATGGCAGTTCGCTGTTTCCTGCGCAGCTTTTTCGTCAAGCCTTTTCCTCCGACGCCCTTTCCTCGCTTTCTGTCCATACATTCCTTTGTAAACCACTTTCCCTAAGGTCACCATTCACCTATCTCAAGAACTCAGGTCACTTCGTACGGCCTTATCATGTGTCCACCTTATTCCACACCCCTCCTACGCCCTTCTCCCAGCTCGCTCCCCTCGCAGGCTCCCGTTCAGTCTTCCGCCATCGCCGCTCTCGCCACAGGTACCAAATGCACGTACCCACCACACGATTTTCAAGACCACCGAGATTCCGTTGCTCCGCAGGTCGCACCTCGAGGATCCGTCTCTCAGCACCTCGATCCCCATCCATCTTCCATCGAGCCACAGTCCCCTTCCTTCTCTCCCGGTGCGGCTCCGTCGCTCATGGAGGCCGCGGGAGTGAACGCGTCGTTTGAATCTTTCCCCATCGCGGCCGACACGCACATGTTTGCCGACGGGGATTACGGCCTTGGTTTGCTAGACGACGCGTTTCACGGGCTCGAGACGTTTACGGACCTGTGCGACCTGCCGGGGCCAGCAGCCGGCGAAGTGAGCGATGTAACAGACGGAGCGCCATCTGCTCAAAAGCTTCACAGTGAACCTGAAGGTGATGCTAACGGTGGGCTTCTTCGCGTCGCGGGCTACTGCGAGCCGCCTTGCGAGCCTCACGGTGTAACGAATTCGTCGCAGCACGCTGGTTACCCCCCGCACGGTCTACCAGAAGCGACGCCGGCGATGCTGCCGGCAACGCATTACTCGGCGATGCCGATATTGCCGCCCAACGCGTCGTCGACGCTGCCGGCCCAACAGCACGACGGCTGGATGGCGCTGCTCGCGGCGGACCTTGGGCTTGCCGACGAGCAGCCGCTCGGAAACGGGTGCGCGAATGGCGGCGCGGAGAGTATGGATGGCGAAGGAGTTGCGGTTTCCGCGGTTCAATGCGGAGGAGCGCAGGGCGGAGCGGAAGGCGGAGTCGTGGGTATACAAGGTGGCGTGATCGCGGGAGATGAGAAAGCGTACACGGAAAGCGCGAAGTTGGGTTCGTTGGCGCAAGGCGGGGTTGGCGGGATTTTCCCCGTGTGCGGGGGTCAGGCGGAGGCGGGTGTTGGGGAGGGGGGGGGAGCAGGATGGGGAGGAGTTGCGAATGAAGGGACATTGGGTGGTGGAGGGGTAGATATGTTGCAGCTGCAGCATCAGCGGGATGAAGAGCAGCAGCAGCAGAGCCATGAGTCGGCGTCCGTGGGTTGGCGGGGAGGCAGCCTGAACGGCAGTTGTCTCAACGGCAGCAGCAGCCCCCATGCGTGCCACTCTGGGAGCGAAGGCGAGGCGATGATGCAAGCGACGGTGGCGGGAGCGGAGGACGAGGAAGGCGCGGATCAGCTGCAGCACGGACAGGAGAAACCGCAAGAGCAGTACCCGTACCATAGCCAGGGAGATCAGCAGCAGCAGCCGCAGACGCAGCAGCAGCAGCCACAACAACAACAGCCGCAATGGCAGATTCAGCAACCTTTGCTGCAGTTCTCTCGCGCGCACGCTGCCTCACCCTCTCCTCCTGCGGGCGAGCCCGCCTTCCCCCGATGGACCTCTGCGCCCACGGTCCCCGCGCACAGCAGCGGCGCGCGCAAGGAACATCACAGCTCCGCGTGCCCATGCGGGCGCTGTGCGCCTGGTGCGCGCGGGGGAAAATGCCCCGCGAGGGCTCATTCCGCGCTGATTTCTGGCGCAGGGGCGGGCGGCAGAGCGGGGACTGGGTCGGGAGCGGGAGCGGGAGTGGGGGCAGAGGTAGCTGGATCAAGGGTCAAAGCACCTGCAGGTTATTTCTCACCAAAAGTCGGTGCAGTTAGTGTGGGCCGGACTAGCCCTCCCAAGAAGCGGCAGCAGGTTCTTGTAGTGACTTCCGCCGCTGCTAATCCTATCCGTCGACCTAGAGATTTGTCTCAGCGATTGGCGGCTGTGATTGACCGGATTGCTGCTGCGGACTCGCTTGTCGACGGTGCCTTTAGTGCTGGTGGTGACGGTGATATTCCTCGCGCTGCTGCTGCTGCTGCTGCTGCTGCTGGTGCTGGTGGGGTTGGGGTTGTCATGGGCGGTCCAACGTCGGCGCTGTCTCTCTGGGACCGCGTGCGACGCGAGGGTTTGAGTCGAATCAGCAGCTCTGGGACGGTTTCCGCTGCACCTGCTGCTACCGCGTCTGCTGCGCTTTGCGTGGATGACGGGCGGAGCTCTGGCGCGCTGCAGCGCGCAGCAGCAGGGGGGTTCCGTTTGGGGTCTGTGGGCGGGGAGCGGGACGGGAAGATGGTGACTGGGAGATGCGCAGGGGCAGGGACAGGGGCAGCAGGCGCTCACCACACGAGGAAGGGGGCAGCTAGGGGTGTGATTAGTGGGGCTGGCAGGATTGTTGGCATGGGAGGAACGTGGAACGCGGGTTGTGTGGATGGTGGTGCTGGCGAGTTGGAGCCGGTCGCGCTGACAGAGACGGGCAAGCGAGCCCTGTCTTTGGGTGGATATTGGCGCGGGTCTGGGCGATTGGGTGGGGAGGAGGAGGAGGAGGAGGAGGAGGAGGAAGAGGAGGGAGAGGAAGAGGAGGAGGAGGAGGAGGAAGAGGCAGACGCGGTTGCTGATGCATACAGTAGCGGGCACGCTGGGGCTGTTGTGAAGAGGAACAACGGGAAGGACGTTTTTGGCATGCTTTTCAACCGCGGCGGCGGCTGCCGCGGCGGCGACAGCGACTGCGACAGCAACGGCAACCGAAGGAGCCACAACAACAACAGCAGCAGCAGCGGCAGCGACAGCCTGGTATCTGGGATCAGCGGGAAGGCGGCAGTGGGGGCTGGCATTTCATCCCGCGCCCTCGCCCTGCCTGCACGGAGGCACTTCAGCAACGTGACCCACGCCGCACATGCTGTTACCACCACCAGTGGTACCATCACCACCCCCAACACCGGTAATGACTCACCCCCTGCGGTCCCCGACGAAACAGCTGCTCCGGGGTCATCCGCACTCGCGCTGCTCCCCTCTGCGGCCCACCGCGGCCTGTCCAAAAACGACCTCTTCCTGCGCCTGGCTGCCGGCGCCCGCACCTCCAGCCCTTCTCACGCCAACTCCCCCACTGCCCTCACCTTCCCCTCCGCCCTCACCTCCCCCTCCGCCCTCACCTCCCCCTCCGCCTCTGCCGCCTCCCCCTCCGCCTCCGCCTCCGCCTCGCCTCCCCGCATGCATCCCTCCCTCCCTGCTGCCATCTCTGCCACCATCTCGGCCTCCTCCCCCCCGCGCTTCTCCCTCGCTACCTCGATGCCCATGGCCATACCCGCAGGAGCCATTCAAAGGGCGATATATCCGGAGCCCATCTACATAGGGTGTCCGTTGGAGTCGCGGGCGGGTGAGGCGGTGGTGAGGGAGGCGGCGGGGGTGTGGCAGCACGAGCCGAGCCTGGCGCCGGTGTCGTCCACTGCGCGGCTGCGCACTGTGGACCAGCTCACTGCACTTGCAGAGGCATACGCTACTGATGACTTGGTGAGTGGATGAGTGAAAGCTGCATGGGTAGGTGTGTGTGTGTGTGTGTGTGTGTGTGTGTGTGTGTGTGTGTGTGTGTGTGTGCGTGCGTGCGTACTATGCCATACCATGCCATACCACGCATTCCTTCCATTCCATACCATACCATACCATACCATACCATACCATACCATACCATACCATACCATACCATACCATACCATACCATACCATACCATACCATACCATACCATACCATACCATACCATACCATACCGTACCATAGCATGCGATCTGGGAGAGAAAGGGGGGAGAAGTGAAAGTGCTTCATTCCTTGTTGTACTCACCATCTAGCTTCTCGTGCTCTCTCCCCCTTTTCCCGCATTCTCCCCTTCCGCCCCTCCCCTCGCCCCCTCACTCCCCCGGTATCCACCCCCATCTGTGTATGTACCCCGCTCGCGCAGGCCAAGATTCGGTTTCTGAATCGCAAGCTGACAAAGAAAGCCGACCCGATGGGCGACCCATTGCAGCGCACAGTGCATTACTTCCTGGAGGCGCTCTCTGCAAGGCAGGAGGGCCGAGGACTGGAGATTTTCAGGCGACCCCTCGACATCCCCATGGAGGTACTACTGCCCGCCGCTACCTGCTGCCGCTGCCGCCGCCGCCACCGCTGCTGCTGGTGCTGTTGTTGATGATGATGGTGCTCATGTTTTGGATGTGGAGGGGCTGGTTTGGGAGGGGAGCAGCAGCAGGGATAGAGGAGCTGTGAGGGGATTGGTACCTGGGGCATGGCAGTGTGCATGGTGGGGACTGGTTGGGTTTGGATATGATCATGGCCCTCATTGTCGTCTGGGTTTTTCTGTTCAGTGGATGTCACGCCCATGATTTTTGTCACGCCCATGATTTTTGTCACGCCCATGATTTTTGTCACGCCCATGATTTTTGTCCCGCCCATGATTTTTGTCACGCCCATGATTTTTGTCCCGCCCATGATTTTTGTCCCGCCCATGATTTTTGTCCCGCCCATGATTTTTGTCCCGCCCATGATTTTTGTCCCGCCCATGATTTTTGTCCCGCCCATGATTTTTGTCCCGCCCATGATTTTTGTCCCGCCCATGATTTTTGTCCAGCCCATGATTTTTGTCCCGCCCATGATTTTTGTCCCGCCCATGATTTTTGTCCCGCCCATGATTTTTGTCCCGCCCATGATTTTTGTCCCGCCCATGATTTTTGTCCCGCCCATGATTTTTGTCCGGCCCATGATTTTTGTCCGGCCCATGATTTTTGTCCCGCCCATGATTTTTGTCCCGCCCATGATTTTTGTCCCGCCCATGATTTTTGTCCCTCCCATGATTTTTGTCACGCCCATGATTTTTGTCCCGCCCATGATTTTTGTCCCGCCCATGATTTTTGTCACGCCCATGATTTTTGTCCCGCCCATGATTTTTGTCCCGCCCATGATTTTTGTCCCGCCCATGCTTTTTGTCCCGCCCATGATTTTTGTCCCGCCCATGATTTTTGTCCCGCCCATGATTTTTGTCCGGCCCATGATTTTTGTCCCGCCCATGATTTTTGTCCCGCCCATGATTTTTGTCCGGCCCATGATTTTTGTCCCGCCCATGATTTTTGTCCGGCCCATGATTTTTGTCCCGCCCATGATTTTTGTCCCGCCCATGATTTTTGTCCCGCCCATGATTTTTGTCCCGCCCATGATTTTTGTCCCGCCCATGATTTTTGTCCGGCCCATGATTTTTGTCCGGCCCATGATTTTTGTCCCGCCCATGATTTTTGTCCGGCCCATGATTTTTGTCCCGCCCATGATTTTTGTCCCGCCCATGATTTTTGTCCCGCCCATGATTTTTGTCCCGCCCATGCTTTTTGTCCCGCCCATGATTTTTGTCCCGCCCATGATTTTTGTCCCGCCCATGATTTTTGTCCCGCCCATGATTTTTGTCCCGCCCATGATTTTTGTCCCGCCCATGATTTTTGTCCCGCCCATGATTTTTGTCCCGCCCATGATTTTTGTCCCGCCCATGATTTTTGTCCCGCCCATGATTTTTGTCCCGCCCATGATTTTTGTCCCGCCCATGATTTTTGTCCCGCCCATGATTTTTGTCCCGCCCATGATTTTTGTCCCGCCCATGATTTTTGTCCCGCCCATGATTTTTGTCCCGCCCATGATTTTTGTCCCGCCCATGATTTTTGTCCCGCCCATGATTTTTGTCCCGCCCATGATTTTTGTCCCGCCCATGATTTTTGTCCCGCCCATGATTTTTGTCCCGCCCATGATTTTTGTCCGGCCCATGATTTTTGTCCCGCCCATGATTTTTGTCCCGCCCATGATTTTTGTCCCGCCCATGATTTTTGTCCCGCCCATGATTTTTGTCCCGCCCATGATTTTTGTCCCGCCCATGATTTTTGTCCCGCCCATGATTTTTGTCCCGCCCATGATTTTTGTCCCGCCCATGATTTTTGTCCCGCCCATGATTTTTGTCCCGCCCATGATTTTTGTCCCGCCCATGATTTTTGTCCCGCCCATGATTTTTGTCCCGCCCATGATTTTTGTCCCGCCCATGATTTTTGTCCCGCCCATGATTTTTGTCCCGCCCATGATTTTTGTCCCGCCCATGATTTTTGTCCCGCCCATGATTTTTGTCCGCCCATGATTTTTGTCCCGCCCATGATTTTTGTCCCGCCCATGATTTTTGTCCCGCCCATGATTTTTGTCCCGCCCATGATTTTTGTCCCGCCCATGATTTTTGTCCCGCCCATGATTTTTGTCCCGCCCATGATTTTTGTCCCGCCCATGATTTTTGTCCCGCCCATGATTTTTGTCCCGCCCATGATTTTTGTCCCGCCCATGATTTTTGTCCCGCCCATGATTTTTGTCCCGCCCATGATTTTTGTCCCGCCCATGATTTTTGTCCCGCCCATGATTTTTGTCCCGCCCATGATTTTTGTCCCGCCCATGATTTTTGTCCCGCCCATGATTTTTGTCCGGCCCATGATTTTTGTCCCGCCCATGATTTTTGTCCCGCCCATGATTTTTGTCCCGCCCATGATTTTTGTCCCGCCCATGATTTTTGTCCCGCCCATGATTTTTGTCCGGCCCATGATTTTTGTCCCGCCCATGATTTTTGTCCCGCCCATGATTTTTGTCCCGCCCATGATTTTTGTCCCGCCCATGATTTTTGTCCCGCCCATGATTTTTGTCCCGCCCATGATTTTTGTCCCGCCCATGATTTTTGTCCCGCCCATGATTTTTGTCCCGCCCATGATTTTTGTCCCGCCCATGATTTTTGTCCCGCCCATGATTTTTGTCCCGCCCATGATTTTTGTCCCGCCCATGATTTTTGTCCCGCCCATGATTTTTGTCCCGCCCATGATTTTTGTCCCGCCCATGATTTTTGTCCCGCCCATGATTTTTGTCCCGCCCATGATTTTTGTCCCGCCCATGATTTTTGTCCCGCCCATGATTTTTGTCCCGCCCATGATTTTTGTCCCGCCCATGATTCTTTTCCTGCTTTTCCCTGCCTTTGTCGGTGCCCGCTCTCCACCTTTCTCTCCGTCGCCTTTCTGTGCTTCTCCCCTCTCTTCCGCCCTACCGCCTCTCCTGTACTTGTCGTTGCTTCCTCGTCTGCTAATGTTCTTCATTCCGTTCCACCCCCTCTCCCCCCCCCTCCCCTCTCCCCTTTCTGCCCTCCGAACCTTCCACTCTTACTCTGCCAGGAGCTCTCTCAAGCCGTGCTGCTGCTGTGTCGAACAGTCCCCTTTGTGCACACGTGCCGGACCGTAATCCACGAGGCGATCCTCCACGCCCTCGCCACCGAACCCATCTGCACCCACCTGCACATCGTCGCCTTCGGCATGTTCCCAGGAGACAACTGGATGGGCCTGCTCCACTCGCTCCTCGACCTCCCCAACGGCCCGCCCCCCCGCATCACCCTCACAGCCATCGACGGTCCTACGAGCCCCGGGAAGATCGCCATGAAAGCAGCGCTGGCGGATTTCTGGCTCAAGTTTCAGGCGACGGCTTCTGCGCTGGGGCTGAATTTCGAGTTCCGGCGGCCGGGCGTGAGGATGGAGACGCTGCGGCCGGGGATGGTGCAGCGCGGAGGGGAGCCCGGGGAGTTGGTGGTGGTGACGTGTGCCATGCACATGCAGTTCCTGCCTGACGTGTCTGTGGTGCGGTCGAATCAGCGCGACTCAGTGCTCCGAGTGAGTGTGGGTTGAGGGAGAGTGAAGGAGATGGGGAGGGGGGGGGGGGGTGGGGTGGGGGAGGGGGAGGCTTGCTGGGGCTTGTGTTGGAGTTGGGAAGGGTAATTGGGGCGGGTGGAGAGGGGTGGGAATTCGTTGGAAAATAGGCGGTCGAGCATGAAGTATGAGACTTCCGTCTTAACGTCCTGTTCTTCTTTGTTTGCTTGGTCATGTATTCCTGCTCATGGCACCACTACCTCCCACTCGCAATGAGCGTATGTATATATTGATTAGCACTCTCTCCCCTCCTCATCTTAACCACGTCCCATCCTCCCATCCTCTCCCCCCTGCCCCTAATCGCCCTCCTGAATCCACCTCTCTAATCCACCACCATCTCTTTGTCCAGGCTGTGCACGCCCTGCGCCCAGCAGCCTTTGCTGTAGTTGACATTGACGCTAATTTCAACGGGCCCTTCTTCCTCTCGCGCTTCCGCGAAGCAGCTATGTACTTCACCAACCTTCTCTCCTGCGTTGACGCCTCGGGGCTGCCGCGCTCCTCGCCCCGCCGCGCCCTCTTCGAGTCCTCCTACCTCGCCCGCGACATTGTCAATGTTATTGCGTGCGAGGGCCTCGACCGTATGGTCCGGCCCGAACGTGTGGAGCAGTGGCAGGCCCGGTTGGAAAGGCTCGGATTTTTTCCCCGAGCCGTGTCGCCGAACCTTGTGGACAAGATTTTGGATCTGGCGCCGTTTCGGGTGGGGGGCAAGAGAAGAGGAATGGGTGGTGCTGGTGGTTTCGGTGGGAACGGAGGCGAGGTGGGGTATGATGTGAAGGAGAAAGGGCACACGGTGCAGATCACGTGGAATGGGGAAAGGATTATATGGGCTGGCCTCTGGTGTGCTGCTCCACAGATGAATGGGGCGAGCTGCCGCCCTATGGTCTTGTGAGGTACCGTACACTGGTAACCAGCAGTTGTCTGACCATATGTTTTTTTGTCTGTTTGTTTATTTCGCGTTTGACCATTGATTGTGGGTATCGTGCACAGTGACTGACCTAATCCAATTCTAAGGCTGGACAGCTTTGCATTACTGCTGTGCTCTTTGCATTCTCCTTGATCGCTTGACTTCTGTATAGTTTGACACTTTGAATAAAAACTCCATATACTTGTCATACCAATGTAGTAGATTGTACTCCTGATTCTTCAAAAAGTATATTGTACAAATAATCAGTTTGCTCAGGAGCATCTTGCATTAGGTGCTGTTGGTTTTTCAAATAGTTTAGTTTGAGTGAATTGTTTATAAATGAGGTGATTTGTATGTTTTCAGCCAGCCAATCTTCTACCAAACCGTTCCTAATCTTTGGTTACTCCGGTCGTTAACAGTATCGCCATCACACCGCGCATTCTACTGCTAGTAGCAATCCCGAGGTGACCATTCTCCCACTCGCGCTGGGCAGACTGTTGAGTGCCTTCAGCAGCCGCATTTCGCGGCGGGTCCACAGCAGTCGGGATCGTTCTAGTGCCTTATCTCTTAGCCGTCCCAATAGTTCGTGTGCGCAACGCCAACCACCTCTTGTAACAGCCGCTGGTTACAAACCGATGGTTTCGCTGACGCACCGCAATTTCGTTCCAGTCCGTGTTCGCTAGTTACACACGCATGTCCGTCCGTTTATTCCGTCGCAAACCGCTGATTCGACCGCGCCTATCACAGAATACCTTCGCGATCAACCTAGTTAACCCGCGGGGGGGGCACTAGTTTAATCTCCGCGGAAGCTACCCATCCGAAACGTAGAAATTTCCGCCATTTTCTACTAATACGGCTTTCCAAGTAACCACTCACTCCGTATCCCCGCATTGCGCGGCGCTCCCCGGCGAGATGGCAGCGGCGGCGGCGAGCATGCAAGCAGCGGCCCCCGTGTACTGCTGCGCGCCGAGCCATGCAACGATGAGATCAGCAGCAGCAGGAGCAGCGCTCCACGTGTCCGCCGGCTCCCCAGCAGCGGCTGTCGTCGCTGCATCCAGCAGCAGCAGCCGCAGCGGCAGCTTCTGTAGCAGAACCCGTAAAACCTCCACACAACCCTTTCCCACCCTTCGATCACTTCGAGCCCATGCGACAGTGACGGCGAGTCGTTTGTGCGACGTTGGAGCGGCGAGAAGTAGCGAGCGACGTCGCTGGCCGAATCCAGAGTGTCGCAATCGGACGGCGGTCAGAGCCGCATTTAGCGGCGGATTTCAAGGGGAATCTCGGACTGGCTCGATTGGTGCCACAGATGGTGCTGATAGCGGGACTGCCGCGGATCTCGCTGCTGCGGCGCAATCAGCGGCCGCCGCAGCAGGCGCTATCCCCCTCGATTCCCCCCTAACCCCTCCGCCTCCGCCTCCCGCTCCCCTTTTGCCCAGCCTCACACCATACTCCCTCCTCAAGCTAGCCGTTGCGGCGGTAATCGCGGTCACCGCGGGGCGCGCCGTGTTTGGCGCCGTGGTCGGCGCGGTCCTGCACCCAGAGGTGCTGCTGCGCGCGAGCTGGCTGCTCGTGGTGTGGCCGTGGCCTGCGGCGGCGCTGCTAGCGGCGTGGACGGTGACGACGGCGGCGGCGGGAGGCGGGAAGAAGCAGCCGCTGTGGAAGCAGGTGGGCGTGCTGCTCGGCGCGCTTACGTGGCTCATCCTGGTGCCCTGCGGAGCGTTTCAGGTGCGAATGCCGGGCTGGGGGGAGATGGGGACGTGGAGGAGGGAGGGGGAGTGAAGGGGGGAAGCGGCAGGAAAAAATGGGAGAAAGGGCGGGCGGGAGGCGGGACAGGGGAGAGGGGAAGGAAAGATCGAGAGGAGACAGAACGAACGTAAAGATGGGTGGACGGATGGACTGGAGAAGTTTTTTCGATCCGTGAATGTGCATGCATGGTCGCATTGGGTGCCCTGGAAAAGCTGCGTGTGAGGCTTCTTGTAGGAGTCGTATTGTACCATTTTTTTAGGGTTGTGGTTTGGTTGAGAAGAGATAGCATGGGAAGGATTGCCATGCGTTGAGCACAGTGCAGTGCAGTGCAGTGTGGTGCAGTGAGGTGCAGGCAAGGGGGAGGGAGGTGCTGTGGGGTTGGCGCGGAGCAGCTTCCAAGGTTTATTAGCAGCAAGAGTTCTGAAATCTGGCGCTCTCTGCAGTGCAGTGCAGTGCAGTGCAGTTCAGTGCGGTGCAGGTAGGGGGAGAGGCATTGTACCGGTGGCAGTGGAGGGCAGAACGCAGGTGAAGGTAAAAGAAGGGGAGGCGAAAGTGATCCTTAAAGGTTTGAATCCTGCCAAAGGAAAAGGCATGGGGCACTCACCTTTACACCCCGCCCGTCGGGTCTCTCGCTCTCTCACTCTCTTTTCCTCTCTCGTCCCCCCTTCCTTCCCAGCTTCCTGGCTCCCGCCCCCCCCTCTTTTCCGCTTATCTCACACTCCCCTCTGCCCCCCCCTTTCCGCTTATCTCACACTCCCCTCTGCCCCCCCCCTTTTCTGCTTACCTCACACTCCCCTCTGCCCCCCCTTTTCCGCTTATTTCACACTCCCCTCTGCCCCCACCTTTTCCGCTTATTTCACACTCCCCTCTGCCCCCCCCTTTCCGCTTATCTCACACTCCCCTCTGCCCCCCCCTTTCCGCTTATCTCACACTCCCCTCTGCCCCCGCCTTTCCGCTTATCTCACACTCCCCTCTGCCCCCCCCTTTCCGCTTATCTCACTCTCCCCTCTGCCCCTTTCCGCTTATTTCACTCTCCCCTCTGCCCCCCCCCTTCCCTTCTCCACTGTCCCCTTCCCCCTCTCTAATCCGTCCCTTTTTTGTTCCTCTCTTGCTCCGTGGCTCTGTCCCTCCCTCCCTCCCTCCCTCCCTCCCTCCCTCCCTCCCTCCCTCCCTCCCTCCCTCTCTCCCTCCCTCCCTCCCTCCCTCCCTCCCTCCCTCCCTCCCTCCCTCCCTCCCTCCCTCCCTCCCTCCCTCTCTCTCTCCTCGCCTCACAGGGCTATCTGGACGGGTGGCGGGTGAGTCTATGCGTGCTGTACGCGGTGTTCTTCAGCGCATCAGCCATCGTGCGCCTGCAGCTGTACGGGGACCTCGCACCCCCCAGCAAGGACCAGCAGCAGGCCACCGCCACCAGCCGCACAGCCCAGGTGCGCCGCATTCCTTACCCCATGGTGATGATGATGATGATCCCGTCACGTCCGTCCGTCCGTCTGTCTGCCTGTCAAGGTCAGCTGTCCATCCAAGCGCCCATCCAACCAAGAGGCCATTTTAATGCCCTTGCAAGCGTCCTTTCATGCCTCTTTTTCCGGTGCATCTTTCCGGCCCCGCATGCCTTCCACCTCCTTCCATCAACCATGCATGATGCCCGTTCCTATCCTCCTGCACCATGCTCGTACTCCCCTGCTTCCCCATCCCAACGCCATCCCCACCCCATCCCCATCCCCATCCCCATCCGCATTGTTCCCCCTTTCCAGCTGTCCTCCCCTTGCCCCACGCCACAACCCCCCCCATTTCTTAGTTCTGTTTGTGCTGTCAGTGGTGGGCGACCACTGGTACGCAGCCTTTTGAGGCACCTAAAAAGAATTCTTCCTTTCCCCTATCTCCTTCCCCCCACCCTCCTTTCCCGTTGTCCACCTCTCGCCCCACCCCACAACCCCCCCATCACCAGGTTCTCTTCGTGCTGTCAGTGGTGGGCGGCCATTGGTACGCAGCCTTTGAGTCCGCATCCCGCGCTGCCCTCCTCGCCGTCTCCACCGCCGCCACAGCAGCCACAGCCTCTGCCGGCGCATCAGCAGCATCAGCATCCGTGGTCGCCGCTCCGTTTGCAGCGGCGCTGGACCCGTGGGCGTCGCGCGTGGCACCGGTGCTGCTGGTGCTCGCGCTCTGGCTGCACTGGGACGCGGCCTTCTTCCTGGGAAAGTACTTTGACCGCCTCGTCGTGCCCAAGGCCGTGGTCATGGTGGGCCCGTACCGCTCGCTGCGCCACCCGCTCTACGCCTCCTACCTGCTGCTCTTCTGCGCCTTCTGCCTCTCCCTGCACAGGTCAGTCAGCCCTCTCGTTCCCCTCCCTGTCCCCTCCCCCTTCTCCTCTCCTCTTTCTCCTCCCGGGTGCAGTAGTGTCATGGCTGCCGTTTCCCCAGTTGCCATATCCCCCTTTCTTGGTCGCCTGTGGACCCTGGGTGCTGGTGGAATCCGGATGTCTGCTGGCGTCATAGATTTCAGACGGATCCGGAGGTCGGCTATGTGGTAGTAATTGATCAGGGAAAAGGTTGCAGTCTCCTTATGGACCATACGTTGCATGGTATGCATGCCCGCACATCGAGTCCTGCGCCATTCGGATGCTCTCCTCCCATGGGCGTCGTGGGTATTGGAAAAAACAGCACTGGTTCCACTCCACAGCAAGGAGATGGCTGGGGAGCCAAGGGTCCAGGTTGAGATCCCGTCGCTGTAGCTGCATGTGCGAGGCACGAGAACGGTGGGCCCAGTTTGAAGCTAACAGCTGTTGCAAAGTGAGGCGGGCTGAGGTGCAGTGCAGCGATAGGAAAGAAGGGATAGCCAGCTGCCAGCTCTGATGGATTTGACGCTGGGGCAGGGCAGCACCGTCAAGCGTCAAAACGCTACGTTTGACGCTTGAAGCTGCTCCTATTTTTTTCGGGCAGACCGAAGGTTGCGGAAATAGATTGTGTCGCTTGGATGTGAGTGAAATCCAGGAGAAGAAGTGTAGGTGTAGGAGATTCAAAATCTAGAATTGACCTCCATTGTGCAATTTCCATATTTGAAATTGGATTGGTCGGGTTTTCTAGATTTTATGCGATGGAGATTGGTAACGAGGGTAGGGATTGGTTGGAAACAACATTTGGGTAAATTGGTGGAATGGTGGGGCTCCTTGCAAATTTCGCTGTTGAGGATTTGGCAAGTGGGGTACGGATTTCACTCCCTCTCCCCCCCACTAGTCTCCTACACTTCCCTCCCACGCTATTTCTACCCGGAAACTTCTAGTCTGACCAAGGTTTTTCTTGCCTACCAGCCAATGATGGATTTGACGCGTCAAGCCTCCAGACGCTAGCGTTGAAATGCTAGCATCTGGACGCGCCCTGGAGAAACCATAGACACTGAGAGAGAGCATCCTCTTAGCATGTCCTGCATATGGGTTAGGGCCATGGCCCACGATGAGATGAGATTACGTCTCCTGCATATGGGTTAGGGCCATGGCCCACGATGAGATGAGATTACGTCTCCTGCATATGGGTTAGGGCCATGGCCCACGATGAGACCACGTGTCCACGTGTCGCTTGTATCTCCCTCTCCTCTCGCACCAGCTCTTTTGTGTGTTCTGGTTTGTCCTGGTGGAGCTGGCTGGCTTTTGAACACAGCATTCACTCTCAAGCTTGCAGCACACGAGCGCAGCGGATTTTGAGATGGAGCCTATCGATGACAATTGCTGGCCTGATGAGAACATATCTTGGCGGCTTGACCCGTGTTCGGCCAGGGTTATTTGTCCGCTCTCGTGACCCCAACCCAACCTCGCAATCACTCCAGTCATTTATGCCCCCCCATCCTTTCCCCACTCAACCCTTTCCTTCACCACACACCCCTCTCTCGATCTCCTTTCCCCCTCCTCTCTCCTCCCTCCCTCCTTCCCCGCCCCATCCACCACTTTCACTCGTCCCTGTCATTTCTCAATCTTCCCCTCTCTACCCCCTCTCTCTCATAACTACAAAACTATTCTCATCCTCTTTACCACCTCTCTGCTGAGCGACCTGCTTCCCTCCCCATCCACCATCATTCTACAACAATCCCTTCCCCACCACAATACACCACCCCTTCCCCTCCCATCCCTCCGCCCTCCGCCCTCTGTCCTCCCTTCCTCACAGCTACAAGGCGTTGCCCTTCCTCTTCATTCCCTCGCTGCTCTACCACCTTCCGTCCCCGTCCACTGTCATTTCACCACAATCGACCGTCCCTTCTCCTCCCCTCCCCTCTCTCTCCCTCCCCCTCACCCCTCCCTCGCCCTCGCAGCTACAAGGCAATGCTCTTCCTCTTCACAGCATCGCTCCTCTACTACCGGGCGCGCATCACCCTAGAGGAGAGCATGCTGCTCAAGGCCTTCCCGGAGTACAAGCAGTACAGCCAGCGCGTGCCCTACAGGATGCTGCCCTACGTGTACTGATGCTGCTGATGAGCCTCTGCTCGTGGGTTGCATGTTAGTGGACTCACTCCAGGCACCTGTTTTGTCAATTTCTCCTCCTACGCTCGAATGATCTGCGTCTGCCCTTCCATTGCTCTGCGGCTCTGCCCTCGCTCTGCCATTGCTCAAGTCACCCGAACTTCGTTGCCCACTCTACTCACCCATTACCGTATATCCATCCTCCTCGTCCCCACTCCCTTCCTTTTCCCATCCTCCAATGCACATTGGCTGTCCCATCCGTTTTGATGCCATGGTGCAATGTAGTTGTCACTTGTTCCCCTTCATACCGCACTGGTGCATGCTTACCGTTCTAGTTTAAATCAATTGATGTACTTCAAATTATCCGCATTATAGCCAAAAAGGCTCAAGACTTGCATCGATGAGGTGGAAAAGAATTGTTAGCATTAAGAGATGTGACCTACGCACCCAGTCATGCGAGGTGCAACAGTTACTGCGAGTCGAGGCATGATAATCTGGACAAAACGCACTGAAGTCCCTCTGGCCAGGTGTGAGGAGAAATTGACGTTTGTGAGGATGTGATATAATACAAGACATTACAATATGAGGTGCATTTTGGGGGTGGATCAGTCAGGGCACCAGGCAGCCACGCAGTGAGGCTGGAAGGCTGGTGAAACTCAGGTGGATGGCCTGTGAGAGGCCAGAATGGAGGCCAAAATGGTGGCCAGATTTGGAATTGCAGGTGACTTGTCGGGTGATGTGCCAGGTGGCACGTGAGGTGACAATGAGGCAATGGAGGTGAACACATACAAGCTGGAGGGAGGGAATCAACAGGTTGCTTCATCACATCGCCAGCAGCGCCAGCATCAGCGGCACTGCTGTCGCTCGCATCAAGCTGGCATCTTCATCAGCTCCGAAACTCAACAGCAGCTGCCCAAACCACAATCCCCAACACCCCGGACACGCACGCCCATTTTGAGCCGCCGCCGGTCGAACCCACTCCAGGCAGCCAAGAGTGGATGTTGGCTGGACCAAGGCCTTGGGCTTGCCGCTGTTGGAAATGGTTGCCAAGGTGTCGCCACTAGGTCGCACCCACTAGCTGTTGCCAAGGTCAGGACCACCAAAGCCGCCATAACCGCCAGGCCATGGAGCAAAGTCCAAGGGCTCGAGCTCCCTCAGCTCCCCTGTCAACCCCTCCTCGCCTTCCTCTGCGCCACTCTGCCCGTGGCCTCTTCCCTCCGCGCCTCCTACGTTCTGTCCTTCTTCATTCCCTCCTTGCATCCCACCTACTGCTGCTCCTGCTGTGCCAACCCCACCATGCCCACCAGCACCACCGGCACCACCATTACCACCACCACCACCACCACCACCACCAGCACCGTCAGCAGCAGCAGCAGTGAGAGCACTCATGTCAAATCCAACAGCACGAGGCTCATGAGCCTCAGAAACCCTCCATCCAGCAACATCCATTGCATCTCCAGTCCCGCGCCCCTCCAGTCCCTCGCCCTCTCTCGCAATTCCCCATCTCCCACCGCCCATCATTCCTCCCTCGGGTCGCCCCTCTCCGAATCCAAGCTTCCCAAACCCCAGATCCACCTCACCGTCTTCGCCAGCCTGCCTTGGTTGACGCCCATTCACATGCCACTGCGCCTGTGGCGGCTGCAGCAGCGCGATGGAAAACGGCTGGGGAATGAAGGGAGGGGTGCTGTGCGGCATTGCGCATGGTGCTTCAGCAGCTGGATCATGGGATCGAGTGGCCGTATCCAGTGTTGTTGGCGTGCGGCCCTGGCTGAACATTGCTTCTGCAGACACCGCAGCATTTTGTGCTGCTTGGAGTGCGGCAGGGATGATTTGTGGGTCTGAGGAGGGGTGGGCTGAGTACTGTTGGCCGGAGTACCGGCCTGAAAGAGGGCTGCTGTAAGGAAATGGAAGAAGCTGGGGCGAGAAGGAAGAGGGGAGGAGAGATGGAGAGGATGGGAGAGTGAATGGCATTGGGAGGAGGATCTGGTCTTGTGAGGAAGGAGGAGGGGGAAGAGGAGAGAAAGGAGCCGGAGCAGGAGCAGGAGCAGGAGCAGGAGCAGGGGCAGGAGGAGGAGGAGGAGGAGGAGGAGGAGGAGGAGGAGGAGGAGGAGGAGTAAAAGGAGGAAGATGAGGAGGATTGCGGAGGGAAGGAAGGGGGGAAAGATGGTGGAGTTTCGCGGGCGATTGAAGGGAGATGTGGCTTTCAAAGAGTAAGCTGGACGAGTCTAGCGTTCTGTCTGCCGCCGATTCAAGCCCGGCAGAGCTGCCAAAAGGAAGAGGCAGGGAAAACGGGGGAAGAGGAGAAGCAACAGGAGCAGCAGCTGCAGAGGCTGCAGCAACCTCACTGGTTTCAGCGGGAGCAGTTAGAGCAGTGGCTGCAGCGGCAGAGGCCCAAGGCATGGAAAGGTTCGGAGGAGTCGTGATTGCAGGAGGCGTTGCAGATGATTGGAAGGCAGAAACACCAGACGATGACGATACCCCGTCCCCCGCTGCTCCTGAGTTGACCGCCGCCGCCCTTGCTGTTGCTAGCGTTCTTGCTGCGCCCTCTATCGCCGAGGCGGGCATGTGCCGCTGAGCCTGCACGTCTCCCCATCCGTGGCTCACGGAAAGAACTCCGTGCTGCTGCTGTGGCGGTGCAAGCACCTGAATCATTCGGCCTGTCTGGCTGGGTTGCTGCACGAGAGGCGGCGGCGGACTCAGCTGCGGCAGGTTCTGATGCTGCAGGAGGAACGGAAGCGTTGGTTGCCCCTGAAGCGGCTGAAAGGGAAGGTGAGGAGGGTCCAAGTGAGATCCCCGCCCCATCCTCTGCCGCTCGCCTTGATCAAAAGACGGGCTGCCGCCATACCCCGTGCTGCCACTGCTCATGCTGTGCTGGTGCTGAAATGGCTGAAGAGGGAACTGCAGGGACGAACCCTGGTTCTGGGGCTGCGGGCTCAGATGCTCCCGCTGCCCCACAATGGGTGCTGCTGATGCTGATGGTGTTGCCATTGCCGTTGCTGCTGCTGTTGCTGCTGCTGGTCGGTTCTGAACCTGACTCAGCACCAGGTCAGCACTGGCTAGAGCAACCTGCATCGAGTCGCTCCTGTGCTGCTGGTCTTCCTCTGCCCGCCGATCTTCGACTGCCTGGCCAGCTTGACCGGCTTGACCGGCTTGACCAGCTTGACCGGCTTGACCGGCTTGACCAGCAAGGCTGTAGCCTGCTCCACGTGGGTCTCCGGAGTTATCACTGGATGATCCTGCAGAGACACACACATGCGCACATACAGGTACATGCACTACAATGAGCGACAGTGACCGCACGCACCCACATATGTAAGGGTGACCCTTACATCCACAGTCCATGGGATGCCCGCAAATAAAAATATTGAATATACAGTGCGTATACTGTAGTACAGTGCATAGACTCAGATTCTCTCCACCTCACCTGTGGCTCTGTGCCGCTGATCCTCTCCTCTCCACCCTCCGCCGCCTCCCACGCTCGCTGTTCTTCCTGCGTCCGGGCCCCTCTTGGCGCGGCCCTCCTCTGGTGGCCCGGACCCCAGCTGTGGGCTGCGGAGGGTCTTCAGGTCCCCCTTGCGACGTCGCTTGTTGTGGTACTGAAGACTCTGCTTGCAGCTGCGCCTTCCCGGCTCGAAATCGTCCATGTCCTGAAATCTGGAGCAGCGGGGAGAAGGGAGGTACAAGAGGGCGAGGGAGTGGGAAGCAGCAAAAGCAGCAGCAACAGCAGCGGCGGCAGTGGCGGCGGCGGCGGCGGCAAAAGCAGCAGCAGCGGCAGCAGCAGCGCTTATGGTCCTCCAAACTCTCACCTGCTGCATTGTTGGCAGAAACGTTGTTGGTTGCCGTCCACTGTGACAGCAGCAGCGCGTGTATGCACGCTGCACACCCGGTGCCGCCGGTTGTACGAGCGAGCGCTCGACAGATCCTCTCCGCACCCGTCCACGCGGCACGTGACAGTCCCCCGTCCTCCACCCCCCCCTCCCCCGTGCTGACTCAAACCCAGAGTTCCCGTGCTGGAAGCTCCACTGACTGTGCAACTGTTAGTATTAGTAGCAGCAGTAGTAGTAGTGGCAGCTGCAGCATTAGCGCCAGGTCCCATGATTGGCAATGGAGCGGCAGCCGCGGCAGAAGCATTTAATGTGAAGCCGGCGTTGGCGCCACTGTCCACATCCACGGCTGATGTTGAATTCGCTCCGTTTGTGGCACCGGCGCCGCTGCCGCCCGGGCCGCCCTCGCGCCGCGGTTCTGGTAACAGCGACATAGACGCCGTTACAACCTGAGCGACGCTGCGTGGATACAAGAGCGCATTGGTATGATTATGTTGTACCGCCGCCGCCGCCGCCATCATGATGACTCTCGCCGCCGCGGCTGTCGCTGCGGGACCAGCACCAGCGGAGTTGCCTCCAGCTGTGGAAGCTGCCGAAGAGTGATGATGCGGCTCGGAGCCAGCTGGATGCGGCAGTGGCGGTCGCTGGAGCCTCGTCAAGTCGGTGGCGGGAGATGTTTTTCTGAGCGTCGGCGACGCGACGTTGGCGTCCGTCGCGTAGGGCTCGTCCCTGCTGCCGCCACTGACGCCGGGAGACGACGACGCGGAATCAAGCTTCTTTCGACCGCGGCTCGAGCCGGGGCCAGCTTTAAGTGCCTCAAGACTCCAGTCGTTCGCGTGAACAACCTTGGCTCCGGCGAGCCTCTTATTATTCCTATTGATAGTAGTGTCATCGTCCGCAACCTCTGAGTCAGGCTGAAGTGCCTGTGGTTGCTCGTCCATGCGAGTAATAAAACGTCGCACGTGACGAGCGATACTAGTACGATGCCGAGGCGCCACTGCGATAACCATTTACGCTATGCGCTTCCAGAACAGAATAGCAACTAGTAATACTGGTAATAGTAATAGCGTTACTTTTTGTCTGCTCTACTGGTGCGGCGGCGTCAATGTCGTTTCGCATAGGAACGCATGCCAATGGGCTTGCGCAGTGACTCGCCATATAACATGCGCCGGACGAAGCCAGTTGGATAAAACTAGCGCCAGATGTTATTGAGCGGCACAGGACGAGAGCCTACATTTCCGAACATACTGGCTGGTGCGACAGAGAGTGGTCGAAAGGAATGCACGTGATCGAGGAATTTCCCTACTCGTTTCAATGTTCGTACAGAGTGAGTATTTCAAGTGCTGGTTGGAGAAGCGCTGCACCATGTGCTCGGCTCGTTTTGGTTCGTCCATTTTGCATCCCCCCATGACACCACCAATCCTTGCGCAAGGGTCAAAAGAATCCGGATGGGCTGTTTGGGACTGGTCGGCATTAGAAGTGCGGCGAAAAAGCGCGTCCTCTGTGCTGAGGCACCAGCCTTTACACTGTAAAAAACCAAATCTTTATTTTGTTGGAACCGATCCACCGCGTCACTACACGGTTGGTGCCAGAGCGGGACGCGTGCAGGGGCAATACAGTATCTGCCCGACTGTACTGTGGTGTGATCGTGATCGTAATCATGATCATGAGTTGACGACGCTAAATAAAGCCCTCATGAGTGGAGGTGTTCCCAAAAAAGGACGCAACAGATCACGACCTTCCTTTGTCTCCCACCAACCTCGTATCTCCAAATCTTCAGTTTTAATTTCGCTAGATTGTATAGCGTTTTTCCTTTCACTTTACACTCGTTGTATGAGCGCTTCGATACGTAACTCGGTTGTGTAAAAGGCGCATCAACCTTCACAGTTTTCATTATTCGAAGCTGATTTGCATTATACTACACCGATAACTGTAGTTATGCACACAATTATGCATACCCAAAGAAAGTATCGCCCAAGCGTAGGATGAAAACATGAAAATATCACTGCACTATTTTGCGTACGACATTTACACAAACTAGCGAAACAAAAACAATGGCTGTGGTGAAGTGCAACTGACTCCCTGCAAACACCTTTCACGGTCCAATTACACTATACCTAGGACCTCGCAAACCAGTTAGGACAGTGGATTGAATGAAACTCAAAAGTAATGAAAGACAGACTACTAAAGTCGAAGAGTTATGATGGAAACGATTGTGAGAAATCGTTGTAGGAGCACGTGTTCACTGTTTCCAGCATGTGTATTACTGTCTGCTTTGTGAGCAGCTCATTACTGATGACATGATTTCAAGAAATTATAAATGTCTAGTCTCCATGTCAACATCGAGTTTGCAGTCTAGTGACATAACCGTTTTCACGCAGCCACTAAACGCACCAACCATTCGGTTTAGTCGTGCTGAGTCTGGTTGCACGATAATATTTGCAGGGAGTAGGGAGGGATCGATTCCTCCTTTGCAGGCAACCATTGCATGATCCGGTCAAGCAAAAAGAGTGAAGCGAGACATTCTCACGTTTGATTTTGTTTGGGTCAACCCATGGGCAGCATACAACTGAGCCTTCGAAAGAAACACGAAATGATTCTGTTTTTAGGACCAATCTAAGGTCGTATCCCAGGCTCGTGTCAAGAGTGGATAATGTCATGACACTATCTCGGAAAACGCATGGAGCACTAAACCTCCTGGTGTCAGCTGGGGATGGCTCGGGATGTTCGGTCATTGTAGGCAACATTGACACCAACCTGGAGCCGCGCGTGAGCGCGGCTCCACTTGGTGTCAAGCGAATTTCCCGCTTGACATTATCCACTCTTGACACGAACCCGGGATACGACCTAAAAGTACTTTCGCTGGTCGGATCACGCGATGAGCAGTTTATGACTCCAACCATGTACAACAATTCCGGTCCCATCAATTTCAACTGTACAACAGAGAACAAACCGCCCTGTCGAGGGATTGTGCGACTGCTCACGCAAGGCGCCTTGTCTGTTCTGTACGGCCCGTCATCATGCGCTGAACACGTTCCTACAGTATTTGTGTGGAAGTCCTTTTAGCTCACCTTGTTTGGCCCATGACATTTGTCGCTTCTGCACTGTGAAGATTTTCTCAGATGCGCCATGCCGTTCCACTACACAGCCGACTGGAATTGGAAGATCCTCGAGTGAAGGCCGACATCATTCACACGCAACGCACACGTAAAAACGCTGTTGAACTCGAGGTTCTTGGCCGCACACGCGTTATCGCCAGCTGCCTGTCTGTTTCTAGGGCGGGAGAGGGGCGGGTTCCGCCTTTCGCGTGCGGGTGGGTGTCGGGCTGGGATGGAAATTGCGCGAAGGCACAAATGCAGGGGGGATGGGAGCTTGGCGGGCAGAGCCGCCGGCGCATTCCACGGATGCTCCATGGTACTGTATGCCACCCTTTGAGAATTCCAGCTGACTGCATTGAAAATCTTCAAGTGAAGCCTACGTCATCAACACCAAACACACACGGAGAATGCTGTTGAATGCACACCTGGATCCGAAAGCCGTGGGGAGGGAGATGGCCGCACATTAGATGCGCGTTGAATGCACACCAACTTTCTCGATCAGTGGTGCATGAGCTACTGTTCCATTAATTACATTAGATGCGCGTTAGAAAAGCGCCACATTTTCCAATCAATTGGACTGAAGCGAGCGAAGGTTTTCGCCTAACTCAGCACCTTTGCCAAGGGAATGGGACTAAGAAATACGCGACTTTTCGAGTGCCTCAATTTGTAACACATTAAAAAAAATATGAAGAAGGGGCGGATGGAAGCGTGGTGGGTTGAGTTACGTCGGGGGGGCGTGCAGGCAGGGCAGCGTGAGGAACGCTGTTCGGGCAGGGCAGTACGGGCAGTTCCGGCAATTCCGGCAGGTCGAAAATAGTGGTGGGCCCTAACGGAGCGGTCCTACGGAGGATGGACCCGCTCCGAATACCATGTCCGAATAGGAAAGTACGAATGATGGACTAGGTAGGAAGAGTGAGAACAAGTACTACCTAACCCTAAAGTGTTGTACCCTTTAGGGTATGCCCCACTCAGGGCCCAAAATTGGTCCAGGCATACCCTTACAAATCAGGGTTCCAGCCCCTCCTGAACCAGACCCCTAGGGTAAAAATTTTCGTACCCTGTTTGCAGCAGGGTAAATCAACCACTAGCCTGATTTGAGCAGGGTAGTTTTAGGCTAAGCCTGCTTCTGTTTCTGTTTTGAGAGTTAAGTTATTTTTATTGACATAAACAAGTAGCACATTCAGAGTCCATGAAGTTTACACAAGCAACACATGCACAACATGTTACAATCCTAAAAAGGACTTAGCGAAGGATCGCTCAGGGTTGATCGCAGAGTAGTGTTGCAGCGGAAGTTTGAATCTCAGGTCAGAGTGAATGTAAATGACTGAGTTGATAATAGCATGCATACATCGAGTTTATATAAGAATACAGGGGAATACGAAAAGACCTAGACTAGCCATGTACTCTAAGGGGTACATTCCCTTATTACAACCGAATTCAAACCGTGCGGCGCGGGAACCCGTTTCAAACCTGTTCCCGCTCATTTCACTTCAAATGTTTCTGCCAGCATCGGTCTTGGTCAGACGGTTGCTGCGTCGCTTCGACTCTTCTGACTCCTCGACTTCGTACTCGGTAGAGTCGGCTCCTGCAGCATACAGGAATGCCTTCTCATAAAGTTTCATATCGTAACACTCCCCTTCATTCCTGGACGCGGGTAGAGCTGACTCGCTTGACTACTCCGGTGAGGTCAGAGCAGTGTTTGTACTGCTGACGTGGCAGACG